CTGTTATTGAATATTAAAATGGTATGAAGAATGCTGCATCTGATGATCTACCGGGTGGGGTTATAGAGTCTTGGGTAGCTTGGCAGGGGTATTGGACAAGTTGTAGACCTTCTGCAGGTCTACAACTTGTCCAATACCCCTGCCAAGCTACCCAAGACTCTATAACCCCACCCGGTAGATCATCAGATGCAGCAATCTTCACCTGACCTCAACATTCTGACTATAAATACTCTCGTACCTTCCAACCCCAGGTAGATCCGTGTGTGACTTGAGAAAGCCCACTGTGTGGGTGAAACGTCGTCAATAAAGGATCACATTATACTGAATTTGTGTTTATATTTCCATTGAATCCTTTGTATTCGACTGAAGATGCCTAATTGTCACACATGTGTCTTACTCATCAATGGTATTGTATACCCTTATGATATTCATTCGCTACCTTCATACGAGATTTCGGAAAATTTGTGGACGTCCAGGAATAGACTAACAAGGAAGAAAAACAAGCGAAAAACATAAGCCTGCCTACCATAGGCCTACTGGCCTATGGTAGGCAGGTTCTACAAGCCAGTATCTAATATAGAAGTGTTATTTATGAAAGCACAACATTGTATGAACTATAACAGGAGAAAATAACCTTGCCCTCCAGCACTTTGTGGTGGGCGTCGCCTCCGTGACTGCAATAATCATGGCTGCTCTTAGTAAATAAATCTTGGTTACACAATCTCACATGACAGGCATTTCTGCTCCCCAGTCTTTTCTCTTCTTTTATTTTTTAAGACATATTTAATATATATCTACTGATGTATCTCTCGGAACTTTCAAAATAATTTGGGGAAAATCGAATTCATTTGTCATCTTAGGTAACAGCTAACTAGGGTATGGGTGTGGGTTTGAACTCATGGTGAGTGTGTTGTAAAACTCCAGGCCAGTGCGTTAGCCACTGGGCCAGGTGGTTACAATAGGATTCATCAAACTAGGTATATTTATACACCATAGAGAGGTTAGCATGGGCCACCACTGTGACCACAAGAGCAAGTTTTTACAGATGACTCTCCCACCAGCGTGGCTGTGGTGAACTCTAGCTCAAGTCCCCTCAAAGCCATCATCATGACTCACGAAAAATCGTAATAACACGACTGTGTTATTACGATTTCGTGATAAACAGGAACGCATCACAGCCATCTTTCACGGACTCTAAACAGATGTCACTCAACTACTTGCTTTGCTGCCGATTTCCACTGTCTGTAAACAAGGCAAGTATGTACTTCAGAGCCCTGTTACCTCCGGTGGGTGGGGATAGAGAAAGTATTATATAACGCGACCTACCGGTAATAACGGCAAAAACAGTATCACGGTTTGTGCTCTCACACATTACACACACGCTTGTTTGTGTGTTGTCAAGTTCTGAGTGACGGGTCCTCCTTCTTACACATCACTTGCTTCAACATAGGCAATGAAGTTATAGATTTTATGTATATATATGAAGATAATCAGGTTATTTATTGAATTTTCTTGTATGGTCATGTCCAGAAATTGTGGTTAGATATCCAGATGTACTCCTGTGGATACATTTAGGGCCTAGTTCATAGGCCTTTTGTATATTCATATGTTCTTGTAGCCACTACCATCCACAGGATGGATATGAGGTACACAATAAACTAGCCACTACCATCCACAGGATGGATATGAGGTACACAATAAACTAGCCACTACCATCCACAGGATGGATATGAGGTACACAATAAACTAGCCACTACCATCCACAGGATGGATATGAGGTGCACAATAAACTAGCCACTACCATCCACAGGATGGATATGAGGTACACAATAAACTAGCCACTACCACCACAGGATGGATATGAGGTGCACAATAAACTAGCCACTACCATCCACAGGATGAATATGAGGTACACAATAAACTAGCCACTACCATCCACAGGATGGATATGAGGTACACAATAAACTAGCCACTACCATCCACAGGATGGATATGAGGTACACAATAAACTAGCCACTACCATCCACAGGATGGATATGAGGTGCACAATAAACTAGCCACTACCATCCACATGATACATACGTGATGTACAAACTAGCCGCTTTGACGGCAAAATCTATACTTCTAAAATCTGTACAAATCAAGGTAATAACGTAGATCTACGAATACGTAGAGACAGACAATTGTTACCGGAAACAGTGAGACGATACATGTCATCTGGTATGATGTTTTATCCGTCTTGAAATCATTGCACCTGTCTACCTGGAGTCTACCCGGAGGGAATTCCGGGGATCAACGTCCCCGCGGCCCGGTCCACGACCAGGCCTCCCTGTGGCCTGGCCTCTGACCTGGCTTCTTAAATTGTACAAAAATTTCAGCTTGGATGTGGGTGGGTGTGACTTGGAACTGCTTAGCATGGGCCAGTAGGCCTCCTGCAGTGCTCCTTCTTATGCGAGATTCACCTGTTATCTTGCATTTTAAGATTCTCATTGCTATCTTGCTTGTTAAGATCCACCTGTTATCTTGCTTGTTAAGATCCACCTGTTATCTTACTTGTTAAGATCCACCTGTTATCTTACTTGTTAAGATCCACCTGTTATCTTGCTTGTTAAGATCCATCTGTCATCTTACTTGTTAAGATCCACCTGTTATCTTACTTGTTAAGATCCACCTGTTATCTTGCTTGTTAAGATCCACCTGTTATCTTGCTTGTTAAGATCCACCTGTTATCTTACTTGTTAAGATCCACCTGTTATCTTGCTTGTTAAGATCCACCTGTTATCTTACTTGTTAAGATCCACCTGTTATCTTGCTTGTTAAGATCCACCTGTTATCTTACTTGTTAAGATCCACCTGTTATCTTGCTTGTTAAGATACACCTGTTATCTTATTTGTTAAGATCCATTTGTTATCTTACTTGTTAAGATCCACCTGTTTTCTTACTTGTTAAGATACACCTGTTATCTTATTTGTTAAGATCCATCTGTTATCTTGCTTGTTAAGATCCACCTGTTATCTTACTTGTTAAGATCCACCTGTTTTCTTTCTTGTTAAGATCCACCTGTTTTCTTTCTTGTTAAGATCCACCTTTCTTGGGAAATTTTTGCAGTGACAAGAGAATAAAGGACGCATTGATGTCACTGCTAGGCACACACGGAGAGCCCGGGTTCGATTCCCGGAGGGGTGGAAACATTTCGACACGTTTCCTTACACCTGTTGTCCTGTTCACCTAGCAGCAAATAGGTACCTGGGTGTTAGTGGACTGGTGTGGGTGGCATCCTGGGGGACAAGATTTAGGATCACAATGGAAATAAGTTAGACAGTCCTCGATGACGCACTTACTTTCTTGGGTTATCCTGGGTGGCTAACCCTCCTGGGTTAAAAATCCGAACGAAATCTCTCTTATCTTAGGTTTAGTCATGCACAAAACGAGCTTAGATTACCGCTTAGGTTACTGGAACAAGCCTGGTTTGTCCCAGGATATATTTACCGAAGTCTGGTACATGAATGGTACAAGGTACCGACACGATAAAAATTAGACATATGCAACACCTGGGTATCATTATATAACTAAGACCCGCGTCAGGAAACACTTGTTTCTTGACAAACCTGACCTCACCTTGCCTGTGCTTCCAGTTATGTCCTGGAATTTGTATTGATAAAGTCACTGGATGGCGAAACGTCTACAGTAAAGATACCCAGATGTTGTACACGTGTCTAATTTCTACCGAGGTGTTTATGTCTTCTCAGGGTATATACACTGAAAGTATATTTTAATCCTTATTTAAGGTATTACAGCATACTTGGCTGGTGGTTTACAGGTTCCGTACAGCCTTACTGATTCTGAGTAGTCTATAGGCCTTATTAATCATTTGAGTAGTCTATAGGCTTTAGGACCAAATAGCAATTGCTACGAGTGGTTGGCATGTTTGGGAGAAAGTCTATAAAGTAGCTAGGTGGAGAACCATCCAGGATATGTCAAGGATATATTCCATGTTTTACGTGGCCTGGAATATGGTTGACATATTTGATTTCTATGTTTGGTAACAGACAATAGAATTTCATTAAAATCAAAATGATATATGGCTTTTGGGTTTCTGAAATTCTTGAACTTTGTACATGATCATGTTCTCTGAGCGTAAGAAGTTCTGATATTTGATATCGGGACTTCTGATAGTATCTGATAATTATACATTAGTGTGTTGCCTCCTCTGAAGTTTGTAGAAGAGGCAAGTCAAGTGTGTGATAGTGGCCTGTGTTAAGTAGTGGCCTGTGTTAAGTAGTGGCCTGTGTTAAGTAGTGGCCTGTGTTAAGTAGTGGCCTGTGTTAAGTAGTGGCCTGTGTTAAGTAGTGGCCTGTGTTAAGTAGTGGCCTGTGTTAAGTAGTGGCCTGTGTTAAGTAGTGGCCTGTGTAGTAGTGATCCTTTTTTCCAAGAACATAAGAAATGAGGAACACTGCAACAGGCCTAGTGGCCCATACTTGCCAAGTTCTCCTCAAACCCAAACCCATATAACATGTTTCAAGAGGAAGTAAGTCATGTTTGTGTGATCGTAACCTGTTTCAAGAAGAGGCAAGTCAACTGTATGACTGTGTGAGGTCTTGCTGGAAAAGACAGGTCATGGGTGCGTGAATACTTCTGACCCATTATAGAGGATGGCAGAGTATATATTATTATACAAGCTGTTGTTCCATCGTCAGAGGAAAAGATAAGTTAGCTTTGAGACTTATGAACAAGCTCTGTCTTTCAAGAACATCTAAAATGAGTATTTTAATGGAAAACAAACTCAAGTTTTGCAACTAACGTGCCAGGGTATTCAGAATTAGTTTCCACAGTGGTCTGCTGATCAAGATCTGAGGTAATCTGCTGCTTTAAGACACAAGGGTTTTCGGTAATATCACTGAGAAAGTCGTGTAGCTAAGATCCATGGATGTTCGGAATAACACTGATGTAGTACAAATGAGTTGGGAATAACACTGAAGAACCAGATGTAGGAGCGTACCTGCAGGAGCCGCATCCTTGACGGCTGAAGGAGGAGTGAATGTCTTCCCAACCTTCACTGCGGCTTATATACTCACCATCACCCGGAGTTGGGTAACCCTTCACACACACTGTTTATGTCCACTTTTCACTTATATACCGCCGGTGATGTTAGCAAAGGCGTTTATTTACACATTACGAGATAGTAAAATGCATGGATATCTTCAGCTGTCTCCTGGGTGCCTTAGGCACTTGCTTAAAGGTAGACGACATGTTTTTCTCAAATTCTAAAGGACTGTTGATCGAGCCTGACTGCATCTCATTCCCCAGGCGCTCTGTAACTATAATGGGCTTACCGACTCCCCACGAATAAACATCACGAAATAAAAAGATTTCACTAAAGTAACGAGCACTGTTTTCAAAACAGAGATAATCTGTTAAAATTTCGTAAATAGACCTACAGGAGGGAAAGTGTACGGAGAACCTAGAAACATAAATCTTGTAACAAAAGCACATTTTTCCTGTAATATTTCTACCTGGTGGACACATTCACATCACCCACACACGAAATAGTATAAATATAAAAAATAAACGGAAAATTTAAGACAAATTACCTTTATCAAATTGGAAAGTGACTGTTACTAGAGAAAACATAAGTAAGAAGATATGAGTTTTAACAGGTTAGAAAAATATAAATAACAGGAGATACTAAATTGTAAACTAATTATGTGATAAATGATTCTGAAAACGCCAAGTTGGAGATTGAGACACTTATGCAACATACGGGAATCTTTATTGAGGAAACGTTTCGCCCCACAGTGACTTCATCAGTCTAGTACATTGTACATGAATGGTGTATAATACTGACAAGATGAAAATTAGACACATGGGAAACATCTGGGTATCTTTATTGTAGACGTTTCGCCCTCCAGTGACTTTATCAGTACAAATTGCATATTGTGGTATCGCCTGTTTACTTTGACCTTATTGTATATATATATATATATATATATATATATATATATATATATATTATATATATATATATATATATATATATATATATATATATATATATATATAAATATATATACATATATATATATTTTATTATCACACTGGCCGATTCCCACCAAGGCAGGGTGGTCCACCAAGGCAGGGTGGCCCACCAAGGCAGGGTGGCCCACCAAGGCAGGGTGGTCCACCAAGGCAGGGTGGCCCACCAAGGCAGGGCGGTCCACCAAGGCAGGGTGACCCGAAAAATAAAAACTTTCACCATCATTCACTCCATCACTGTCTTGCCAGAAGGGTGCTTTACACTACAGTTTTTAAACTGCAACATTAACACCCCTCCTTCAGAGTGCAGGCACTGTACTTCCCATCTCCAGGACTCAAGTCCGGCCTGCCGGTTTCCCTGAACCCCTTCATAAATGTTACTTTGCTCACACTCCAACAGCACGTCAAGTATTAAAAACCATTTGTCTCCATTCACTCCTATCAAACGCGCTCACGCATGCTTGCTGGAAGCCCAAACCCCTCGCACACAAAACCTCCTTTACCCCCTCCCTTCAACCTTTCCTAGGCCGACCCCTACCCCGCCTTCCTTCCACTACAGACTGATACACTCTTGAAGTCACTCTGTTTCGCTCCATTCTCTCTACATGTCCGAACCACCTCAACAACCCTTCCTCAGCCCTCTGGACAACAGTTTTGGTAATCCCGCACCTCCTCCTAACTTCCAAACTACGAATTCTTCTGCATTATATTCACACCACACATTGCCCTCAGACATGACATCTCCACTGCCTCCAGCCTTCTCCTCGCTGCAACATTCATCACCCATGCTTCACATCCATATAAGAGCGTTGGTAAAACTATACTCTCATACATTCCCCTCTTTGCCTCCAAGGACAAAGTTCTTTGTCTCCACAGACTCCTAAGTGCACCACTCACCCTTTTCCCATCATCAATTCTATGATTCCCCTCATTTTTCACAGACCCATCTGCTGACACGTCCACTCCCAAATATTTGAATACATTCACCTCCTCCATACTCTCTCCCTCCAATCTGATATCCAATCTTTCATCACCTAATCTTTTTGTTATCCTCATAACCTTACTCTTTCCTGTATTCACTTTTAATTTTCTTCTTTTGCACACCCTACCAAATTCATCCACCAATCTCTGCAACTTCTCTTCAGAATCTCCCAAGAACACAGTGTCATCAGCAAAGAGCAACTGTGACAACTCCCACTTTGTGTGTGATTCTTTATCTTTTAACTCCATGCCTCTTGCCAAGACCCTCGCATTTACTTCTCTTACAACCCCATCTATAAATATATTAAACAACCACGGTGACATCACACATCCTTGTCTAAGGCCTACTTTTACTGGGAAATAATCTCCCTCTTTCCTACATACTCTAACTTGAGCCTCACTATCCTCGTAAAAACTCTTCACTGCTTTCAGTAACCTACCTCCTACACCATACACCTGCAACATCTGCCACATTGCCCCCCTATCCACCCTGTCATACTCCTTTTCCAAATCCATAAATGCCACAAGGACCTCTTTAGCCTTATCTAAATACTGTTCACTTATATGTTTCACTGTAAACACCTGGTTCACACACCCCCTACCTTTCCTAAAGCCTCCTTGTTCATCTGCTATCCTATTCTCCGTCTTACTCTTAATTCTTTCAATAATAATTCTACCATACACTTTACCAGGTATACTCAACAGACTTATCCCCCTATAATTTTTGCACTCTCTTTTGTCCCCTTTGCCTTTATACAAAGGAACTATGCATGCTCTCTGCCAATCCCTATGTACCTTACCGTCTTCCATATATATATATATATATATATATATATATATATATATATATATATATATATATATATATATTATATATATATGGATATAATATAAGTTCCGGCTTTTTGGTGGTTATTGTTACTGACAGTTTTCAGGGCAGCCTCTGTGCACTTTCGCCGTCGCAAATCTTCCTCCTTAAAGACTAATCAAGCCTCACTGAACTTCAAGAGATATCCAATATCATCTCTGTGTTGGACGAGTCATCACGGCTGCAAGCGTTCTTTGGGTTCCCTGATTCTAATGTCCAGAGATCTGATTGATAGTTTGGTATGATTTGTCAGGAAACAGAACAAGTGTCTCCTGACGCTGGTCTTAGTCATATGATGACCCACAGCTGGAGCTTTTGGTCATCTGACCTAGACCTTCTGCTTTCTTACCAGTCCACCCCTTTCAAAATTAATGGTTTTAATAATATTTTTTTCCAGAGATATGACTGTTTTCCCTACATATATTTTGTCACATCCCCCACATGGTATTGTGTATGCTCCTGCAGTAGTTCCAGAGTGGTTCTTGGGGTTTTATACTTGGTTTTTAACAGTAGCAGTAGACCTGAGGTATAAGAAAACAAACCCCATACATTCCCAGGGTCTGGCTGTGTGGTACAGTGTCTCACTCGTAAGAGGCCCCGATTTGGTACCTTCTTAATTGCACCCGTCTTGTTTGCAGTAAACGAGTGAACCATTCGGAACTGTGTACTGTGATGCAGAGGGTGCAAGGTCGTGTCTTGCTCCAATCTGAGATGATATTTATAATTTCGCTCGTTAGCAAATTATATAAAATCTAGAGTTCAAGGGTAACGGTATTAAGTAGTAATGAAATACGTTACCAAGGTAGTGGTTTCGTTATTGAGTTAGTCACCGCATCTCCACCCACTTCTCTGCTGCTCATGTGAACTGGAACAGTTACTGTGACACTCGATTATAAACAACGAGTTTAGTGTCTCAGAGAATATACACAAGTGTGTATACCTCTCAGGACCTATACTGAGAGATTTTAGTCTCGAGTATATATATTGTGCAACTGTGTGTTATATATATATATATATATATATATATATATATATATATATATATATATATATATATATGTATATATGTTATATATATATATATATATATATATATATATATATATATATATATATATATATATATATATATGTCGTGCCGAATATGTAAAACTGGTCAATTAGCAAGAACTCATTTAAAATTAAGTCCTTTCTGAAATTTCCTTTTATACGTTTAAAGATATTTTTTTTTCATTAATGTTAATGTAAAAATTTTTAAATTTTCTCCAAAAGAATCTTAGAAAACTTACCTAACCTTATTATAGCAAGAGCAATTTATTTTAGCCTAACCCAACTAAATATATTTTAGATTTGTTTACAGTAATTTAATACTAAACAAACGCAGTGAAATATATTTTCTTCGTTAGGTTCAGAATGACTTTGGCGAAATTATTGCATACACAAATTTTAACTTGTCCTATATGGCAAGATGAACGTTGCTATTTAAGCCAAGATCGCAAGTTCTGCCTATTCGGCACGACATTACATATATATATATATATATATATATATTATATATATATATATATATATATATATATATATATATAATATATATATATATATATATATATATATATATATATATCATTTACCAAACTGAGGCAGGCCAGGATTCGACCCCGACGACATATTGTCCAGCCTGAAGAGACAACACAATGACGGGTAGCTCCAAGGAACTGGAGCTACCCGTCAGCTTCACGTGAACTGAAAAACGATTGGTATAACTTCACAGTGCTGAAGAGGGCGACTGATACACTGAAACTGATGCGACTGATAGACTGAAACGGCAGTCCATGACACCGTGTCATGGACCACCAGTGATACCTTCAGTCTTGCCTCAGAGAATTAACCCTACTATCTGTTGCTGTCTTGCAATATTGCATAGCTCCTGATAACGCACGAAAGTGCGAAAGATCTAGAGCTAAAGATTCTCCTTATGTGGCTTGTTTTGTATTGTCAACATCGCATGTTTACAGTTGGTTTTGGGAGATTCTGAAGAGAAGTTGCAGAGGTTGGTGGATGAGTTTGGTAGGGTATGTAAAAGAAGAAAATTAAAAGTGAATGAAGGGAAGAGTAAGGTGATAAGGATAACAAAAAGATTAGGTAAAGAAAGATTGGATATCAGATTGGAGGGAGAGAGTATGGAGGAGGT